ACTACATTTTACTGCAAAATAGCTAAGTTAATCTTCATTTCTAACCTAACTTTTCAGTATTTAGCTCCGCTTCTGCCGTCAGGCTTGCGATAAAGCTTTAATCACTATTACAAAAAACTCAGACTGCCTGTTTATCCTTTAAAGAATAAGCTAACAAAATCTCCAAATCCTTCACATAAGTGGTTCTCAACAATCTACGTATCCACTTCATAGCTGGTATTTTTGGTTTTGGAAATGTTAGAAGCCATTAAAACCTAGATGGTAAACTAGCAGTGTTGAAGTTCACATTTATTTAACACACCTTCAGATTGTAATTATTAAATCAGTAAGGCCACAATTATTCATTGGACTGATGAAGTCTTAACATGATGGGGGGGAGAAGAAAAAACACCATGATCTCACAAAGGTGTTCTGTTATAAAAAACGTTAGTGCAAGTTACATAACATGCTTCTCCACTCCTGTATCTACCAGAAGCTCATACTACCACACCCTAAAATAAAGAAAAAAAGAAAAAAAGTATACATCCTCACATTAAAATAAGTTTATTGTAATAATGGATTTTTAATTAATTACAAGTTATAATTTATTGATTATAAATTATTAATGTCGTGAGTTCTGTTTTCTCCCTAGTAAATTATGACAGATGCATACAACTTTTTTCTTAAATTAATTATAAATATGGCAATCAAAGTGTTTAAAAAAACTGAAGAATTTATTTCATCTCTGACATAAATAAAGGATGTGTTATCAGTAACTCCAATAAAAAAGTGCAACTCCAGTGTAAATTTCCAGTGAAAGAGCACAAAATGCACCCTTCTTACAGGACTGTAGAAGGCTTCCAAAAAAGTATGTTTGATAACTTTTTTTTTTTAGTTAAAGAATTCATCAAGATGTTTCAGCACTTACAAACTCCATTCTAAACTATCTAGCCTTTCAAAAACCATCTTTCATTAGGCAGTTCGCACAGCAAACCACCTAATCACCCTCTTTAACCAATGCTGTCCAGTGGATACAAGAAACCTTAATCCTTCCTCCAAGATTTTTCAAGAAGTGAAATTAGAAAGATGACATTTGCCAGAGCTTTGCCCTTCAAGATTACTATACATAGAACCAGAACACAGGCCCTCTTATTATTCCCTGAGAAAGTCTGAAATTTAACTTAATCTCTTCATATCTTTATTCAACAATGCATTTAAAAGACTGATGAAGAGCAAAGTATGATTGTAACATACAGAGCAATAAGAATACTACGGTAGAGTGCAAATTCTTATATCACTGACTTGGCACTGATACTTCACAGTTTGCAAACAAATTCAAACCCACTACTTGAGAGTAGTAAGACTGACTATACTGTGTTTTATAATTGGTATTCTACCCCTCCTTAGCATTGTTACTGTGCCAGACTAATAGATATTGCATTAGTTTACTACAAATACTTTACAATTCTGTCAAATTAAAAATAATATTGACATTTAAATAATAAAAACATAACAATTTAGAGAAATACTAGGTTTAAAAGTCAAGCATTCCACTACTAAAACTATGAATTCAGAAGAACTTATTAGAAAAGCAATATTTAGGCAGGTATCGGTATTAAAAGAATATTCTTAAGTCTTAATTCCTTCACAGTTCCCACTTGATGACACTGCAGGTATGTACAAATGTTTATTTACTAATACAACTGGAACAAGGCATACCTTTGTGGAACTGCTTTCAGTAATTTTTGCTAGCTGCCAAAGGATTACATAATGAGTACACTGCAGTGCATGAATAACAATCTGAAATCAAAAGAAAAAAATGCATTAGATGACAAAAGCCAATAAAAGACAGCAACAAAAGCTATTTATTGTTGTACCTAAAGCACACATTGTAACTACAGACCTGTTCTGGCATGTCTCCATTTTCAATGCCAGTTTTCAATAATTTGTAGTTGCAGCCAAACAAGTCCCATCTTGATAGGTCGTGAGCACTGGAAGCATTGGAAATGAAGCAAAGATGTAATTTAACTAACACCATTTCTGCAATTTGACATTAACAACTACTGAAAGCTTAACTGGTCTAAAACAAACAAACAAGCAAAAAAACCCAGAAATACACCCGTCGTGAGCGCTGGAAGCATTGGAAATGAAGTAAAGATGTAATTTAACACCATTTCTGCAATTTGACATTAACAACTACTGAAAGCTTAACTGGTCTAAAACAAACAAACAAGCAAAAAAACCCAGAAATACACCCCCCAAACCCAACAAAAAACACTCCCAACAACAAAGAAAAAACCCAAAGCAAAAAAACCCCCAGATTTCAGTGTCACGTTCTGCACAACACTCAATCATTCACACTAAACAAAAAACCTCCAAGTTGCATTAAAAAGTTAATATCAAATTAAAAACAAAACAAAAACAACCCCCCACACCACAAACCCTGACAGATGTTTGCAGAAGCCTACTTACTTGTGAAAAGCTGTGATTCTCTTCAGTGTTGACAAGACTTGATATGCATCATCTTCATCAGGTTCCTCCCCCTATTTAATAATCATACAGTAAGGTATCCCAAGCAATGTATGCTAAGCAAACTAGGGAACTTAACAAGATTTAAAAAAACAAACCCACCAAACCCTAAAACAACCCCCCAAACCCAACCAACAACAACGAGAGAGCGCACATTGCATCAAAATTATTTATAAATGACGCATCTGGTTTTAGAAGAGTTAAAGAGTTTGAGAGAGAAGGTAGCATTCATGTTTAGAAATAGTCACCAGCACAAGGAGAAATGGCGGGGGGGGGAGAAAAATATCTAGGATAGCAGAATACAATGTACTATGTAGGTGCTTCAATTTTCTCTGAAGAATCCAGCAGAGGCCACTGTCAGACAATAGATACTGGACTAGATGGGCCACAGGTCAGTACCTCAATCTTACTTTAATCACAGAAAAAAGTCTTTGAGAGAGGTAAGGGAAGTATTTTGTCCTAATTTTCCCACAAGTTCTTACAAACTCGCATTTGGAGAAAGAAAAGGAGTAAAAAGGAAAGGGTCCAAAAGTATCTATTTAAGTACATAGGATAAACTATCAGAGATACTGCAAGTTCAATGCATTTTACTGTTCTGTAGTTGCACAACCTTATCAAAGCACTATGGATTTCAATGCTTTCACCAGGGCATTTGCTGTTTTCCTCCAAGCCAACCGTCTGACATTTCATTTCTTTGCTTTACCTCTCATTCTTTCTTTTTCTTACAAAGGATGAAATAAATGGATTACTAGGCACATTTCTTACATAGTTCACATACGTCTAGGGTTTCTAGAGTGGAGTCCTAGTTCAGGCCAATAAGCCAAAGGCTTGATAAAGTATGGATCTGAGAAGTGTGGAGAATGAAGTAGTTAAAAAGACACTTCCCATGCTCCTTATCACAGATGAGGAGGAGGAGAAACAAGTTTTGTCTGAATGTCAGAGATCCCACATAGTGAAGTTAAATACTGTATCAGAAAATACTCACTCTTCAGATTAGCACAGTGTGGGAACAAAGTCAGTTTTAAGCTATTAACTGCATCTGCTTGCATTCAGGAAGGGAGGGGGAGTGTTTTCTAGAGATGTGGATATTTAACAACAGCAACATGCAATCATAGGCAAGACTTGCAACACCAGTACATCTGAGGAGAATCTTAGTGGAATTACAATGCTACATCTCTCAAAAACATGAGCTTCAAAACCTAAAGGTGAAAAGTTTATGTGATTTCATAGTTTATCTGAAACTTATCTCAAATTCCAAAAAGACACTTGTCAAAAGGAGATTAAAACTAAAGACTCGCTGTCCTAATACAAAAGAACAGTCTGAGTTCACATAATCACAGCAATAATACTGTTGTATTATTGTGCTTGACTTAACAGTTTTGAAAAACAGAGGGAAGTTCCCATCCCTAACTCATTGACTTGCATAGGAAGGCAGAAAAACATACTGGAAATATTTACAGGGGCAGGAAAAGTTGATCTTGCACATTAAAATACCTCTTGCAGGAAGTCTTCAAGAAGTCGATTAAACTTGTCTGCCAATTCATCTATTAACTGACTTCTTGCAATGTCAACCCTGTTAAAGATTGTGAATTCTTCATTACAGAGAGCGTGGTATGTTTTTGAACAGGCTTCCAAAACATCTATATCTGTGTGCTTCTCCACAATATCCCGGATTTGTCTCAGTAAGGCATCCAAATGCTACAAGAAAGATGAAGCATGGGAAAAAAATATGTATTCGTGTGTGTATATATATATATACACACACACGTATTTTTAATAAAACTTAAGGAATTTTAAAAGATAAATTCAATTTATTACTTTTGTAACTGACACAGAACACAAAACACTTCTAGAAAGCTGTGGAGCTTCTGAGTAAATTAAAAATCTATTTAGGAAAAATTAAGTAGGAGATTGTCAAAGGCTAAAGATTCAATGCATTTTAAAAAACCATTAAAAATTTGCAATTGTTGGTATGGTTTTATCTAACACTTGAATTTGCAATGACAACTGAACAACACAGAAGCATTTATCTCCCACTCACACAAACACTTATACATGGTCTTAAAAGCTGTATAATTGAAGATTTAGTTTCGTAACACTCAAGTGTCAGCACTGAAACCAACTTCAGTTGTTGCTCGCTACTGCTCTATCAGTGCTAGGCTATGCTGCCAACTAAACATTTTATTACTTTTTTGAACCTAATGATTTCCAGCTACTTGCTTCACAATACAGCAAAATAGTGCATCTGAGAAGGAGAAAATAAATATGAGAACAGCTTACACCAACTTCATCACCATAGCAGATAAAATGAGAGCAGTAACTACATAATTTGTGATCAGGTAGTTTTCCCCTTTTTCATGCAGCGAAGATGGTGGTTTATTAGTTTCAGTGATCGGAAAAAGAAAACTTATCAAGCTGTTTCTACAATCTTTATCTGTCAGGCAGCATACCTCAATCATGACCATAACCCAACAATAAATGCTCCCGCATAAAGTTCATGTAACTGGCAAGATTCTCTGTTAAAACTCGCCAGAGAGGCCTTAGAAAACTCAAACTTTCAGTATCTCTAAGAACAGCAGCCAGTCACAGCTCTGAAGTCCAAGTCTCATTCTCAATAAGGGTTACAATAAATAAAGTCTCACTTATACAAAAAACCACACCTACAATGGTGACTGAAATTCCAGTGACTAAATCTAAATTCTGGGTTTTCTCCTTTTGTGTTAAATGTTATTGAATGTTACCTTACCTTTTCTAATCGCCCTGTTGTATAAATTTCCAAATCAAAGTACTGTGGCAACTGCAATAAGTTGGTGACTTTTTCTGCATCTACAGAATACTGTAAAATTGACATGGAAAAAAGTTTAAATGCAAAAGTCTTGGACAACACAATTCGTTATAGAACAATCAAATATTAATAAAGACTAGTAAGAAAAAATGAAGACTTGTGCAAGCCATACAGTTAATTACAGAAACTATAGTTGTTAACATTTCAGTAACAGTCCATCAGCAAGAAATGGAATTAAACCTACCTTTGCTAGCAACTGAGGAAGTGCCACTGCAAAAAGTTCAGTAATTTTTGTCCTGTCATCCAGCTGGGTTTTCTTTTCCTTTGCTGTCAGCACCTAAAATATTGGTATTGTGAGCGGATTTTACAACTAAAAGTTCTGGTGCAAAGTTTCATTATCATTAATGAAATGACAATTAGGTACACAGATGTTCTAATATCACTGTAAAATATCAATGTAAAAAAAACACCAATAAAAAAACCAATGTTCAGCACTCAAAAAAATGCAATTCAAAGTTATGCCTAATATTATTGAGATTATCTTGAAAACAGAAGTGACAATCTAGAACAAAAGGTTTACCTTCCCTGCAACAAAATACCATCATCAGAATGCTTTTCTTGACAATGAAAGAACAGCAAACTTCTCAGCTTACTTGGGATTTTTAATGATATTTATTCAAGTCACATGTCAATCTGATCTTCATACATGTTTTCAAACTGTACCTAAATGGGTTTCTTACCAAAAGCTGCACCAGTCTTGAAAGCAGTTCCCTTCCCTGCTTAATGTCCCAGTAAAAGAAGGCTGCCTAAACTCTATATAATCAGAGAAAAGCCTACTGGTGGACTGTCCTCCTTCCAAAGAGACTATGAAGTATATTCCCTTCCCTCATTTTGCTCTTTCAAATTGAAAATAGTTTTAGCTTTCCCAAACATTGATTTTTGTTCTCCTTTCCAACCAATACTTCTTTCAAAAACAGTTTTGTATTACCTTTAATAGTAAAAACAAATGCAGTAGGCCAAACAGTATTAAGCACATGCCGAAGTCCAGAAAAAGTGAACTAGCCAGGGTAGTCAGATACTGGAGGCTGTGGAGACCAAAGCTGAACTTCTGAATTCAGTCCCTTCAGCAGCAACAGCCTACAACCTTTTCCTTATTCCCACACTGTCCCCACATAGCCGCTCCCAGATCTCTAGACGAGTAGCTTTTTGCTTCCTACCCTTTTCCCTGTTCCTCTTCCCACAGGAGGATGACATTCAGCTGCTTGCCGAATTGTACAAAGCATTATTTCAATCAGTGCGCTTTCCTGTCTATCCGTTAAAGCTGAAATTTAAGAAACAGATGTTAATACACAGCTTGATTTTTCATTTTCCACAAGTATTAGTATCTAAGGATCAAAATATGTTTGGGGTTTTTTTTAAAGAAAAAAAGAAAGGCATTTAGGCCAATAGCTCATTTCCAGGGATGGGTGTGACATGGGATAGAGAAGATAAGCACCTTATAAAATAACACAAGAAAATATTTAAAATTGAGGGAGTATCACTGGATGAGTCACAGGACAGGATGAAACAAATACCAAGCTTTATAATCATTTTAGTTCCTTTTCATTTTTTAGAGGTCCATTTACTAGGACCTATGAATTACAGAATTATGCCAGGGGGCTTGTTTGGTTTTACTGTCATTAAAGAAATTATGGTATTTTTCCATAGGGTAGTTTTAAAACTCCATAAATGAATCAGTTTCACAAGCAACTTAGTTTCTCTAAAGCCAGAAGTGCAGCCTGAACCTGTGGAACAATAGGGCAACTGGACACTGCATGCTTATTCCCTCTCTTCTCCCTCTTTTCTTCCCACCATTGATCTTCTGTGTCTCACTTCCGTACCAGAAGTGATCTCTTTCTACTCTTCTTCACATTTTAGAATTAGTATTAGTGATTTATTATAGTCACGTAAAAATAGAGAATATATGTGGACTCATAAATGGTAAGCATCTTATTTCCTTATAAATCAAGACTAACAGAAACTGCATAGCAACATAAAGAAAGATCTACGAAAATTTCTTACGTTCTTCTCCATTGAGAGGCTCCTCCAACAGAAGACTGTTCATACATTCCCAGTCCTTCAAGAGGTCTGTTGCACAGTCCCACATGCTGTCCACAAGATAAGCAGCATGTTCATGCAACTAAAATGAGAACAGAATAAGTGTTTTTCTTTATCAGCAATAAAGTTCATTACAGACTTTTCTATAATACAGGGTATTTTTCTTGCTTGGCTCCTGTCTGTGGCCAAAAAAAAAAAAAAAAAGAAAAATGTGGGAGCTCTCTGGTTCAACAGAAGCCTCTCTTCCCCAATTAACTTAAAAAGATTAATCCAGACCAACTGCTACAAAGAGTAGTGCTACAAGATCTGTCAGAACTTGGGGGGTGGGGGAGGTTTGCGGGGGTTTTTTGTTTGTTTGAGGTTTTTTTCCCCTCCCCCTTTATAAATCTCCTAAATCACAATTTCTTTCCCCCTATGTATTAGCATAAAGAATGACAGACAAATATTTGTCAGAGTAGACAGTACTCAACACTGTGCGCTGGACAGATCCTTCAAACAAACACAACCACACAAAACAGTCTTTCGACCCCCAGGTTGCTCAAATAATAGGAAAACCAGGACAGAGTCATGGTTATTAACCAATGAGTGGGGAAAAGAAAAACAACAAAAAATTAAATAAAAAAATAATTAAAACAAAACACACACACAAAAAAAACAAAACAAAAAACCCAACAAAAAACAAACAAAAAGCCAAAAAAACCCACACCACAAAAACAAGGATATCCCTGAAACTCAACTTACTTCACTTTCCAAGAAGAAAAACACTAATGTCTTCACAAGATTAGCATTCGGACTTTGTCTTCCCCTTCTTTTAAGTATTCCATCATCTTCAGGATCTCTGCGGCTGAAAAGCCTAAAAGAAAAATTATTTCAGGACAAGTTTCTTCTTCATTGCCTTTGCCACAGTCAATTCATATCAAGATATTGTTTTTTTACAGACACACACTTAATACCTTGCTGCTTGGCTCCACATGTTATTTTGAAAGAAAATAAATGTATCATTTGAACAATTTCATATATGCTGAGTTGGTATTTCACTGACTGTTTCCAGTGGAATGTATAATTATAACAAAATACTTTACAAACACCAGTGATAATTGCAGGTGCTTGAGGTCCCATGCTGCTCTTTAGCGAACTACATTTTCTGAACCTCCCTACATGAGACTTTAAAGCAGCAAAGAAATACTGGAAGAAGGTCTGAAAAGTATTAGGTGGAAACTCTATTTTGTTCCCCTACACACCTGATATGTGTTGAATATCTCCTTCTGTTGTTGGGGGTTTTTTTCCCCCTCCAGAAAAATACTTTATGAAATGGTTATATGAGCCAAATTGGGACGGGACGGGACAGGACGGACTACAAAGGGGAAAATACTCATTATAACGCAAGCACAAGTTTTAGGTACCAAACTACGTGAGCACTTTAAGATGTTTCACAGAACACAGGAAGGACGGGAAAGGAGAAGACAGAGGAATGTTTTAATTATATTCCCTGTAGGTACAAGCTTTTGAAGTGCAGCCTTCAAAATTACTCTCTACTTCCCATTCAGAAAAACTACAACAGTTCAAAAACTACAGTAGTGTCACATTTTCTGTAACTTATTTCTCTTAAGGCCACTTCATTATTCAGTTTTTCCTTTTCTTAATTAAAACTAATGAGAATTAATGCACACACTAAAATCTACACGAACAAGAAGTTAACTATAATTTCTCCACCTTACTTTTTATAAAGAAATTCCCCTGCGGCAACTGCTACTGGCCGATGAGCTGAATAAACCAGATGGTAGACATTTTCACAGTCTTCTGCAGTCAGAACTTCTTCACTACTCCTAGGGGTGGAGATGGGAAGAAGGAAAGAAAGAAAGGGAAAAAAAAGCTGAGTCAACAGAGTATGAACTCTAATGAGGGAGATGGAAATGAAGGAGAATCTAAACCTTTGCGTTCAACTTATCATCCTAAAACCCAAAACAAGATAGCTTAGTTCCAGAGTCTTCCTAAAGAAAAATTACTGATAAATTACGAGCGTTTGGTAGAAGATTATGCTCAAAAGTTCAACTACTGTTTAACGTTCAATACATCCTATATTTCTTCAGTTCAAATATTCCACGATAGCTTCAAATTAGGGAGGCTGAATTCTAAGTTTCTAACCCTTACACTTACTTAACTGCGGTAGATAAGTAACAACACTGTTCTAGCCAGATTACTTTTGAAATTCCAGTTTGTTCGAGTGTAAGATGCGTAGACATTTCTCTAGACTTTGGATTATCTGAATTCTGTCAAGCTGCTGTCCTCACCCACAGGTATGAGAAATACTTTTAAGTTTTAATATTTGTTGTAGGTCAGATAAGGAGGTATACATGTACTTACTGTAAAACAAGAGTGAGTAATTTTATTGCTTGGACTGCAACATCATATTCTTTGTCAAGAGTCATAGACACAATTCTATCCTAAGAACACAAAAGAAAGTATTTTCAAAGAGGAAAGAAGTGTAATACAACTTTAAAAAAATTCATACGTACTTAAAAATATGAAGTTACACTAACCTTGAACCGACTGGTGAAGAGTTCCAATTTGGAATTAAGCTCTTTATTATAGTAAAGCCCTTGCAAAGCAGTTAGGCATTTGAGTCTTACTTCCCCTTGCTAAAATAAAATTAAGAACTAGATTAAAAGTCAAGTATAGGATACAGATGTGATCTTCAAATCAGACAAGTTTCTTTTGCAGTCTGAATTAATTCAAAGACAAAGATTAAATGGGGTCAAGATATACTATCAATAATCATGTTAATAACATAAGAATATGTCCTTGTTTGTAACAAGCCAATGAAGGGAGAAAAAAAAAAACCACCAAAGAAACCCCTCCAATGTCTTATTGCAGTTAGTATCTCTGTAAGTCAAAATACACTTGTTTCATTCTATAAAGATGTATTCTAAATGCTCGAGATACTTCTAAGTAGAATTCTATGTGTTTCCTTTCACTTAAAGCTGGTAACATCTATATTGTTAACGACCATCTCATGTTAGATCAGAATTACCAAGTAGACACAGAGAGAAATACTCCTTCTGAAGTACAAGATCTACGTTAGCAGAGAACATGTTTTAAAGTATAGATACAGAAATGCTTTTCAGAAGCCTAGGACACCTGACTTCGCACAGTTTCTTATCACCCCACTGCCAGAGGTTATTGGGTTTTTTGATACCAAACCCATGAACAGCATAGCATGAGTGAGCATCCCTCATTTGTTTCACTTCAAATTCAATAGCTTGACGTCTCCAATGCAAGAACTGAGACAATGTGCTGACTCAACGATGAATCAAGGAGTATTTGTAAACTGTATCTGTTGACCACTCCAAGCAGAGAATAATCTCTAGCTAGTAGCTGGTAAGTAACAGCCTGAGGCACTCATCAGCACAAAAAGGGACTTTTCCCATGTTTTTTACAGCTAGCTAAGAATGCTAAAAAGTTTCTTAACTTGGCAAAACAGAGAAACTGTTAGGCTATATGAATGGACTATTCCATGTGAAATGCATTAATTTTAAATAGTTAAGTATTATAAAGTAGAAGTCTATCAGCAATAAATAAATAGAAAAAGCCATTTCCTTACAAATATCAGTTCCTTAAAAATCTATATATACTCTATAAAACCATTCAAAATATTCAAGTCTATTTATTTTTATATTTTATATATAAATATAAAATATTATAATTTTATATATTAAGCAGTGACTGATTAAAACAGTTAAGAGATCAGCACCTAGACTGGCAAGATCAACAACCAAAAACATGGGAATCATGCTTCATGATTCTGTTCCTTTTCCTCAATGCAGCTTACCTTATCATGCATAGTCCACCCTACATATTTTAGGTAGCTGTCATTTAGAAAGGCGTCACTGTACATCTTCATCCATATTCCGATCTCTTCAATACAGATAGCTCTTATTTCAGCAATTGCATCTCTGGTGAGAGAAGTGGGACAATAGGATCAAACAGATGAGTAATTAGAAATAACTTGTCACCAGTTTCCAAAATAAATTAATGGAGCTACAAGTTACTTACTAAGAGAAACTTACCGGTATCTATGCACAAAAACACCTTTAAATATTGCATTCATCATGTTTTCTATTTCATCCTGATTTTCCTGAAGCTGAAAGAATGAACAGAGTACATAAACAGTGAGCAGCACTTTTACATTCAGATCAGATGGTGCTGATGCTAGACAAACTAAATTAAGTTAACATTTGCAAGTGTGGCCATTAAATCCTTTCCTGAAATATTCACAAATCTGTTTCACAGTACAATATGCTATTATTTAAGGAATTGTATCTACCACAGCATACAAATTCCAGTAATTCTGACCACTGGAAAACTGTTCTTCAACTGTAACTAAGACATCTTAGGTTTCTGCAAGCTCCTTCTTAAGTTATTTATAAGAAAACTTGATTTAATTGTCTAGTAACTTTTTAAGCCCAACGTTCAGCCCAATTTTTAATACCCTTACTACGTTTTTATGGACATGTATCATTACAACAATACCCAAATCACGTGAACTGCATTACAAGGAGTCTTTTCTGTATGCTAAAGAATTTGTAATCTAAAAAGACAAGATACAGATGAAGAACTTTGCAAATGGCTACATGAGCAGCATATACTCTGTTTTGAATACCTCTTTCCTCCTCATCCATTACTTAGAGAGACAACAAATGCAGAAACTGAGTAAGGTATTGCAGAAAAAGTTAGTTTAAGAATATGGAGCTGAAAAATAAAGGAGACAAAGCCAGTCTCAGAGTAACAACACAAGAGCAAGACATGCAGTGAGTTCAACAAGAGTTGAAAAGTAATACATGCAGTGTTTTAAAACACAGAAAATTGTATTTGCTTTGAAAGTGCAAGAAAGTCCTTTAAATGATTTGAAAATAACTAAATATTGTTAGCAGACAAGCATATTCTTTTTGCAGTTTGAACTATAATGGTAGGACAAATTAGACAATGTTAATGAGAATAGTCAAGGACTGAGGAAGTTGACATGTCGCTGGATCGGGGC